AGAGTGGTCAGTGTCACTTCTAATATATCCACAATGTTTTGTGTTTATTATTCTCCCCCTCCCCCATTCTCTGTTTCTCTTCTCCCCTTCTCCCCTCACTTTCCCTCCCTCTCTCATCCCGCCCCATCTCTACTCCCATCCCATCCCCTCTGCGCTCAGTTTCTTCCTCCAAAAGTTTTATAAGACATTGTGCACAGAGTTCTCATTGTAGGTCATATGCTTTTGATACCTACTTGTGCTGTAAAATAATACTGTAATTGGCTGTCATGTTTCTTGACAAAGTGCGAATGAGGAAGCAGTATTATGATATGAGACTCAAAAACGGTTAGGTTTTCAATCAAAGTAGCAATTACCAGATATATAACTTTTTTTTCCCTTTTTCCTTTTTCTTTAAGTAGGTTTGATGTTTTTCCATTATATAAAACAGAATGAGTAAATTACCCATGGCAGAAGATATGAGAATGCTAAAGGTTTAGTCTATAAGCTGTTACAGTTAATGTATTTGTTGATTTTCTCAGTGACCAGCTCCCCTACTCTCAGAATCAAACCTTTGTTTTGCATAGCTCGGCTTATCCCCAGGTTTAGCTAATCCACATTTGAACATAACTTACCTTATATTGAATTTGCCTTAACTTTAACAGATCTGTCATCATGTTAACAACCTTCACAATAATGTGTGCATACCCCAAACACAAGCAAAATCAATTTAACTCCCACCTAACAAGTATTATTTAATATTAAACACTATGACAATCTTATACTTACTCAGTCAGACTCAAACTTATCTAGTATAATATAAACTGTATCCATGGACTCTCAGTATCATATTACAGTCCTACTCTATCTTGCTAACTGTCATATTCAACAGTATGCAGACCTGTAACATAACTGACTGGATTTTGTTCTAGGACTTGGTGTTGTGAGGTGCAGACATAGGATGAATATGATTTATGGTTTTGTAGATGTGTGTTTTCATCAGGTTTTTGACCATTCTTCCAAGTGATGAAGTGCATTCATTATGACATTTATAAAAGGTATAAGAGAAATCTCTTGTATATAGAAGATATTCTTTCTCGTTCATATCTTTTCTACTTGTAAGTAAAATGTTTTTGGATATTTAAAGCACTGGTGATGCATTCACAAATGTATCTTGGAAAAAAAATACTATCATTGTAACATTTTTTGTTACCTACAATAATGTTGGTATTCAAGAAATGCTATATTATGCTTTTGTTGATTTCTCTTGTTGCTTTGTATAATACTGCTGCTAAAGGTAATAGCTTTAAGGATTTGTAGGCTTTTATTAATGTCTCTCATGACATTTTCACTGAGATTCTTTCTTGTTTTGAGTCTTCTGCCTTCGATTGCTATTCCTCCTCCTCCTCTCCTTTCTCCAGCACTCTTTCCTCTTCTTACTTCCTAAGTCAATGCCTGTTCCTCCACCGCTTCCTCTCCTTCGTAATGTATCTCCTTTCATTCTTCTTAGCCTGCTGCCATGGTAGGTTCTGTAATCCTGGATGGAAAACAATATAAACATTATACATGGCACCTTAACCCATTGGCGCAGGGTGTCACGTACGTACATGCCATGGCTGTTGTGGACCAAGCGCTGGGGGCATCATGCCATGCCCATTCCCGCACTACTGGCTCGTCGGATGGAGGTTGTTTTTCTCCACTAGTAGCGGCTTCATTTTATATATGGTAAAGATTTTAGGCAATGGCACCTAAAGTGAAGGTAAACCTTCAAAATTTTAATATTTTTATAAATTTTAGAAAAATAAAAGCTTTTAGGTGCTATATGTCGCTCGCAAACTACCGATCGAGCCGGGCACAAACAGGGGAAACTGCCAGTGCACGTCAACAAGCCGGTGCATACGTAAACTTGACAAAATTTTTACCCGTTGCTGATGGGTTAAAGTCGCATTGAGAAACCTGCTCTCCTTCTTTTCTTGTGAAAGAAGTACAGGAGGAAGTTTTTAAAGTTGTAAATCAGACCCTCATGGATCACATTGGATTGTAAATACTAGTTGAATGGGTAATCTGCTTTGTATGACCGTTATAAATTCCGCTATTTTGTTTTTTTCCTCTTTCTTTCTTTCTTTCTTTCTTTAGCATTTCATTTTCTAGCTATTAAGAATTTGATGTGGACTGGTAAAAAAAAAGATAAGATTTAAGACTACTGTTCAACCAATAATCACTAAGTAATTTAAGAGAGAAGGAGAACATGTAACAATGGTAATTGATCCTCACACGGTTAAGGAAGTTGATGTTTAAGAAAGCGTAAAGCTTCAACAACACAAATCTTTGTGATCTTACATTGCTATATTCATTGTCATCCACACATTCATAATTTTTTAGCACTTGCCGCAACACCACAAGCTGATGCTCTGATAATGTTTTATATATTCTTCTTTTTTTTTCCTTTTTTTATAATAGATAAGTAATGACGATAATCTCTTGACCAACATCCACTACAACAGAGTGTCCCTTTTCTCGGCAGATTCAGACAAAATGAGCGAAATGGCGGCAGCGTGCGAATCTCCCCCAAAGAGTGTCCTTAAGTTTGATGATGATTCGGAGTTCCCGCCTGTGTAACGGCCTGAAGGAGCTCGGGGTCCAGTGGGATTTTTCATTTTTCTATGATTCTAGTTTTCTTATTTCTCTTAATCTTTTATTCTTTATCTCTTTGTCGCCGTTGTCATCACATCTCTCTCTCTCTTTCTCTCTCTCTCTCTCTCTCTCTCACATTTCATGAATCTTCCTTGTATATTTTCTTTCCTTTTTTTCTTTATTGTTTTCATTATCTTTTTTTTTCCATCTCTCTATCTTTTCTCTTTTTCCTGTGGCTTAATATAATGCGTTTGTGGGTGTGACTATGTATTTTTTTAATAATATGGATTGGATTTGAATCAAGTGAATGTCTGACAGATAAATGGGCCAAGAGGTATTTATGACATTATGATTTTTTTCTTTTTCTTTTTTTCTTTCTTCTCTTTACTTTATTGTTTTACAATCATTAAACTACTAAGTACATGTGCGTAATATTTACATATATATATATATATATATATATATATATATATATATATATATATATATATATATATATATATATATATATATATATATATATATATATATATATATATATATGCACATATATATATACATATGTATATGTATATAATATGAATGTATATTTGTGTGTACATATATAAATATATATATATATATATATATATATATATATATATATATATATATATATAATATATATATATATATATATATATATATATATATATATATATATATATATATATATATATATATATATATATATAATATATATATATATATATATATATACATACACATATACATACATACATATATATATACACACACTCACACTCACACGTACCTGCATGTAAACATACATGTATGTATGTGTGTATAATCATACATGGATGTATATAAGTATAGAATGCATATACATAAACTTATAATACATGTATGTATGTTCATTATATTCCCCTTTGCATTTCAAATACAACACTCAAATCAGACCTTTTGATATTACAAGTTGCTGATTATTGTCATTGCAGAATCCTTTGTGTGTGTGGAATTAGAATCCGATTTTTGCTTTCCTTTTATCAACAATTTGTTTATTTTTTATTTATTTCTTTGATTTTATTATGACTTTGCATTGGATTATTTGTCAAAGATGAGTTTTTAAAGAAATTGATTGTTATTTCCTATTGTCATGTAAATTGGAGTGCTTGCGTGTATTGCAGGGTTTTCTCAGCCCTTTTGATTTATTTCACAGAAAGCTCCCAAGTCCAGATGTGTGTGATGTATTTATTTATTTCTATATTTTTTTAGGAAATTAGTGATAAATGCTTCACTGAGTGATTACAAAATGTCAGCAGTTTGATTAAGTTAATAAAAAAAAAAAAAAGTCTTAATTCAATAAGAAAATTATATTTCCATAGCTCATTCATTGCAGACATTCCCCCAGTTGGCTATGAACCTGTGCAATAATAGCAGGAGTCATGTAATAGTGTTCAGAAAAAAAAATCAAGTATATAAGTATATTACTGATTTGTAAGATTAAGCTTTTTAATCTTAATTCAAACCCATTATCATTAATTTTGTTTGGAAAGTGAGTGATTATTTTTTGAAGTCTTTAAAGGAGAAAGGCCTTTATATTTTCCTATTAGCTGCTTGTAGATTATTGTGCAGGGAGACGTCTGTGGAGATTGAGGAAGGGAAAAAAATTTTGTAGATTATTCTAACTTTTTTTTTTTTTTTTTTTTTTCTCTCTCTCTCTCTCTCTCTCCAAAAGAGCTATGTGAGTAATTATCTCTGTGCAAAATTAAGTGAATTTCCAGGTAAATCATGAGTATTTTGTTTTCAATTGATAATATATTGTGATTGTAAGCTAGCAGAGTTATTAAAAGATTATAATGTACATATTTTTTTTATTGAATGATGATAAGTATATATGCAAACACAAACACTAGCAAAAACCCACACACACACACGCATACTGAAAATCTCCGTCTTTCAGGCTCGATAAACAATTTGTATTTTTTTATTGTTATTACTATTTTTTATTTATTATTTATTTTTTTATTTTTTTATCAATACAAATTATTCAAGGGCCCACATTATAATTTTTTCTTTCTCCATTAGTATGAAAGTCACTACAAAAGAGCCACTGTATTGTCCTCTGTCACCTGTCGACCATGCTTGTATAGTCTCATCAATTGATAGTCTTATTCATCCACCTGAGAGTGCTTTGGATTTTCAATATATGACTTTTGTGATACATGGACTCATTAGACTTAGGCACCTTCCGTTTCTTCCTCGTCCTCCTCCTGGTCTAAGGAACCAGACTCAAGAAATAGGAACAGAGTCTGAGTACTAAGTCTTGAAAGTTGTCATATTTATTATTATTATTTTCTTTTTCTTTTTCCTCCATTTGTATTAATACTAGAAGGAGTTTCTTTTTATAGTCATTGACATTACCTGGTGTCATTTCATTTTCCTGGCTAGGTGTAACATGGGTGCCAAAAAAAAAAAAAGTGTGAGCGAAATGTTAGTGTTGCAATCAGAAATTCCTTCAGGTATCATCTGTTCGAATCTACTGTTTATCATTTTTCTTCTACATGGGTAAAATTATTGGATATGATTTATAAAAAAGCCCAGGAGAGATTTTATTTCTGTAAAAGAAAATATGAATGTAAATAAGTAGATTACGACATGAAAATGCATTAGAGTCCTCAGGCATGGCACAAGCATAGTAGTGTGTAAATCTTTTGTGTGTGTCAAGAAGTCACCCTTCATACACTCACCATGTGTGAATAGTATCAGTTTATCCATATCACATTGTTAAAAAAAAGAATATTACTCTGTATCAAGAACTTTGTAGGATTTTTTTTCCCCTTAAATATCATTATTATAAAGGAATCATCTTTTTAGATCTTTAAGAGAAATTCTTATGATTAAGAAAAGAGAAATAGGGAAGAAATATATATATTGATAATCACATGAGTATAGTCTGAAAAGACAAGAATGTAATGTTTATGTATATAGTAACAATGAGAGAAAAGACAACCATGGCAGATATTTTACATGTAAACAAAATCACAGTAAGAACCAATACCAAGATCAGTAGCATATTATGAACAGGATTATTAACCTGATTTACACATGATTCTGTAAACCATATCCTATCAACCCACTTTATACCAGAAGCTGAACTTTGTTGGTCTGTCTATTAAGATGCTTTTCTTAACTCGTAACATTGTAATCAAAGTTTCAGGAATCTTGACAGTGGAAATTTTTCTTTGAGTGACGATTCACAGGGTTCAGCTGATATATATTTCAGGTCTTTTTCTTAATCATGTCTGGGAAGGACAGCAAATAACATGTAAAAAGACCTCAAGATGCTAACTTGATATCATGAACTCTTCTCAAGATAAGTATGCTGCTCCTTGTAGTCATGTTGAGCGTGATTTGGGGACTAAATAGCACAGAAACTGCCTGGTGTCCTCTCAGGGATGAATAAGTCAAGCGACCACGTTCCATGTTGTAGTGAGCTGCCTCAAGTAAAAACCAACAGATTTTCGTGTGAACTTCTGCACTAGGCAGATTATTTTTTTGTACAGGTTTTCTTTTTAGATTTTGTAGTCAATGACCACTTTATATATTGATTATATGAATGAGAGTTATGTCAAATGCAAAGGATGATATCCTATAACTGTTAGTTTAGAAAAAAAAAAATATTGTATATGGCACAGATTTTGAAATTGGGTAACACATATTCTTTAGTTATTTGCAGTGCATGACAGTTTGAAATGAAATCCCTTATTCTAGAATGTTAACTGAAGTTTGATCATGGTATATCTATACTCAATTTTATTTCAAAATTTGTTTTTGAGTAACAGTGAACAAAGAATTCATATTATGCAGATCTCTCTCTGGCACCAGTAGTATTTCGGAAGTGTCTTCACATTGTGTACATCATTACAGGGGGAGCTGTCGTCAGTATGATAAACATTACGTTGAAGCTTCTCTCTGTGTGAACTCTTTCTAGCTTGCGTTGTTTTGCACAGGTACCTTTTATAATTGTATTATACAAGGTTATACATATTTTCTAAAAGCTACAGTATGTTTTTGATTTGTATATAAAATGTGTTGCAGTGGTTTAATGAAGGCTTCTGAATATTGTATGAAGTGTGTACTATATTAGATATAATAAAAAGTTTTATTAAACAAACAAAACATTATAAAAGATCCTAAAAAAAAAATGAATGTACCATAAAGATAATAAAGTTGAAAAGTGTAAAGGGGAAAGGATGTATCACCTTAAACTAAAAGACTAATAGTTCTAGATATTATAGAATTACTTCATTACGTCACTTGATATATTTGCCTTTGCTCTGTGTATATATATATTGTGTTCAACGGCAAGACAATGGCAGCTGCCATAGGATTGTGCAAAACAGGCTTTTGTAATGCATTAGTGAACATTTGTGATAAAAATTACAGCCTCTTTATCAAAGTGAAATGTAATTACTCAGCTAACAATGAAACTTCTTTACAACTTCTTCAGTTTTTAAAGATTGATATTAGTTATTCAGGCATTCATTCATAATGCATGAAGCATTCATGCATGCTCCGTGCAACTGCTCTCTTCCTCACAAATAGCCTTGAATAACTTAAAAGAAAGGCAAATCTCTCCTATATATATGTAAAAATATATAACATATATGCCTTATATAAAGAGTAAAAGAAAAAGTTTTTTTTAATCTATATGTGTATATATATACATATTTAGGTAAAGATACATAAAAAAACAAATATTTATACATATATATATATGCATATATATATATATATATATATATATATATAATATATATATATATATATATTATATTATATATATATATATATATATATATATATATATATATGCGTATATATATATATATATGCGTATATATATATATAATATATATTATATATATATATATATATATATATTATATATATATATATATATATATATATATTATATATATATATATATATATATATATATATAATATATATATATATATATACGTATATATATATATATATATATATATATATATATATATATATATATATATATATATATATATATATATATATATATATATATATATATATATATATATATATATATATATATAATATATAATATATATATATATATATATTATATATATATATATATATATAAATATATATTATAAAATATATATTATATATTATAAATATATATATATTATATATATATATATATATATATATATATATATTATATATATATATATATATATATATATATATAATATATTATTTATACATATATAATATATATTTATATATATATATATATATATATATATATATTTAATATATATAATATCATATATATATACATATATATATATATACATATATATATACATATATATAGTATATATATATATAAT